ACCACACACACAGACACCACACACACAGACACCACACATACACAGACACCACACACACACAGACACCACACATACACAGACACCACACACACAGACACCACACACACAGAGACACCGCACACACACAGACACCACACACACAGACACCACACACACACAGACACCACACACACACAGACACCACACACACACAGACACCACACACACACAGACACCACACACACAGACACCACACACACAGAGACACCGCACACACACAGACACCACACACACAGACACCACATACACACACAGATACCACACACACAGACACCACACACACAGACACCACACACACAGACACCACACACACAGACACCACACACACAGACACCACACACACACAGACACCACACACACAGACACCACACACACACAGACACCACACACACACAGACACCACACACACAGACACCACACACACAGACACCACACACACAGAGACACCGCACACACACAGACACCACACACACAGACACCACATACACACACAGATACCACACACACAGACACCACACACACAGACACCACATACACACACAGACACCACACACACAGACACCATACACACAGACACCACACACACAGTCACCATACACACACAGACACCACACAGAGACACCGCACACACACAGACACCACACACACAGACACCACACACCCAGAGACACCACACACACACAGACACCACACACACAGACACCACACACACACACAGACACCACACACACACAGACACCACACACACAGACACCACACACACACACAGACACCACGCACACAGAGACACCACACACACACAGACACCACACACACAGACACCACACACACACACAGACACCACACACCCAGAGACACCACACACACACAGATACCACACACACAGACACCACACACACAGACACAGCACACACACAGATACCACACACACAGACACCACACATACACAGACACCACACACCCAGAGATTCCACACACACAGACACCACACACACACAGACACAGCACACACAGAGACACAGCACACACACAGATACCACACACAGAGACACCACACACACATAGACACCACACACACACAGGCACCGCACACACAGACACCACACACACACAGATACCACACACACAGACACCACACACACAGAGACACCACACACACACGCAGACACCACACACACAGATACCACACACAGAGACACCACACACACACAGACACCACACACACAGAGACACCACACACACAGACACCACACACACACAGATACCACACACACAGACACCACACACACAGAGACACCACACACACACGCAGACACCACACACACAGATACCACACACAGAGACACCACACACACACAGACACCACACACACACAGACACCGCACACACAGACACCACACACACACAGGCACCGCACACACACAGACACCACACACACAGAGACACCACACACACACGCAGACACCACACACACAGACACCACACACACACAGACACCACACACACACAGACACCACACACACACAGACACCACACACACAGACACCACACACACACAGATACCACACACACAGATACCACACACACAGACACCACACACACACAGACACCACACACACAGACACCAAACACACACACAGACACCACACACACAGGCACCACATACACACACAGATACCACACACACAGACACCACACACACAGACACCACACACACACACAGACACCACACACACAGACACCAAACACACACACAGATACCACACACACAGACACCACACACACAGACACCACACACACACACAGACACCGCACACACAGAGACACCGCACACACAGAGACACCACACACCCAGAGACACCACACACACAGACACCATACACACACACACAAACACCGCACACACACAGACACCGCACACACACAGACACCACTCACCTTCAACGTGAGGCCTGCCACTACACCACACACAAAGACAAATATCCCCCGTGTAGCCTGTAACGGGCTGTAGGGGCAAGTGCTGTTAGCCAGCGTCAATGAAGGCCGGCACGTTACACGAGGGGGTGGGTGGCCAGCACCACGCCCGACCGCCTTTGTCTCCCCAGTGCTAGCGATGTTTACTGGGCTACACCGCGCGAGGCACACGATTTTGAGGCTAAGTCGACCTAGGGGAGGCCCAGGACCGGTTCAGATAATCGTCACTGATGTTGGCCGTGAGCGGGAATCGAACTCAGGTGGCCGGGTTCGTAGGGCGGCGTAGCGCTAACCACTACACCACCGCTCCCCCACCATCATCATGACCACCACCATCACCACCACCACCTCCACCATCACCACCACCTCCACCATCACCACCACTTCCACCATCACCACCACCTCCACCATCATCGCCACCTCCACCATCACCACCACCACCTCCACCATCACCACCACCGCCACCATCACCACCATCACCACCATCACCACTTCCACCATCACCACCATCACCACCATCACCACTATCACCACCACCTCCACCATCACCACTATCACCACCTCCACCATCACCACCATCACCACCACCACCTTCACCATCACCACCATCACCACTATCACCACCACCTCCACCATCACCACTATCACCACCACCCACACTATCACCACCATCACCACCTCCACCACCACTCACCACCACCTCCATCACCACCACCTCCACCATTATCACCATAATCACCACCACCACCACCATCACCACCTCCACCCCCATCATCACCACCACCACCACCACCACCTCCACCATCACCACCACTACCATCACCACCATCACCACTATCACCTCCCCCATCACCACTATCACCACCATCACCACCACCTCCACCATCACCACCACCTCCACCATCACCACCATCACCACTATCACCTCCACCATCACCACTATCACCACTATCACCACCACCTCCACCATCACCACTATCACCACCACCTACACCATCACCACCATCACTACCTCCACCACCACTATCACCACCACCTCCATCACCACCACCTCCATCATTACTACCATCACCATCATCACCACCACCACCATCATCACCTCCACCCCCACCATCACCTCCACTACCACCACTACCATCACCACCTCCATCACCACCACCATCACCACCTCCACCACCACTACCACCATCACCATCACCACCATCATCACCTCCATCACCACCACCACTACCATCACCACCACCACTACCATCATCACCACCACCCCCATCATCACCTCCACCACCACCACCTCCACCTCCACCACCACCACTACCATCACCACCTCCCTCACCACCATCATCACCACCACCACTACCATCGCCACCTCCACCTCCACCACCACTACCACTATCACCATCACCTCCATCACCACCACCTCCACCATTACCACCATCATCACCACCACCACCATCATCACCTCCACCACCACCTCCACCACCGCTACCACCACCACCACCACGACCTCCACCCCCACCACCACCTCCACCACTGTCCCCCCTCTGCCCTCCCCCCAGTACCTGAGTGGAGGCTGCACCAGCTACTTTGCTACCAAGGAGTCCGCTCAACACATCTCCCCATCGAGACTGAGTCCAGAGGTGAGTCCATGGGCAGTGCTGAGTCTCAGTACTGAGTCTTAGACTGAGTCTTAGTGCTGAGTCTTAGACTGAGTCTTAGTGCTGAGTCACATTGTTGAGTCTTAGACTGAGTCTTAGTGCTGAGTCACATTGTTGAGTCTATGGACTGAGTCTCAGTACTGAGTCTCAGTGCTGAGACTCAGTACTGAGTCTCAGCGCTGAGACTCAGTACTGAGTCTTAGACTGAGTCTCAGTACTGAGTCTCAGTGCTGAGACTCAGTACTGAGTCTTAGACTGAGTCTCAGGACTGAGTCTTAGTGCTGAGTGTATCGACTGAGTCTCAGTGCTGAGTCTCAGTCCTGAGTCTCAGTGCTGAGACTCAGTACTGAGTCTTAGACTGAGTCTCAGTGCTGATTCACAGTACTGAGTCACAGTACTGAGTCTCAGTGCTGAGTCACAGTACTGAGTCTCAGTGCTGAGACTCAGTACTGAGTCTTAGACTGAGTCTCAGGACTGAGTCTTAGTGCTGAGTGTATCGACTGAGTCTCAGTGCTGAGTCTCAGTCCTGAGTCTCAGTACTGAGTCTCAGTACTGTGACTCAGTACTGAGTCTCAGAACTGTGACTCAGTACTGAGTCTCAGACTGAGTCACATTGCTGAGTCTTTCGACTGAGTCTCAGGACTGAGTTTCAGTGCTGAGTACTCCAAGTCTCTTGCATTGACGAGCTGCTCCTACCACTAACTACCACTAACTACCACCAACTACCACTAACTACCACCAACTACCACTAACTACCACTAACTACCACCAACTACCACCAACTACCACTAACTACCACCAACTACCACTAACTACCACTAACTACCACCAACTACCACTAACTACCACCAACTACCACTAACCACCACTAACTACCACTAACTACCACTAACTACCACCAACTACCACTAACTACCACCAACTACCACTAACTACCACCAACTACCACTAACTACCACTAACTACCACTAACTACCACTAACTACCACCAACTACCACTAACCACCACTAACTACCACCAACTACCACTAACTACCACCAACTACCACTAACTACCACTAACTACCACCAACTACCACTAACCACCACTAACTACCACTAACTACCACTAACTACCACTAACTACCACCAACCACCACCAACTACTACTAACTACCACTAACTACAACTAACTACCACTAACTACCACCAACTACCACCAACCACCACTAACTACCACCAACTACCACTAACTACCACCAACTACCACTAACTACCACTAACTACCACCAACTACCACTAACCACCACTAACTACCACCAACTACAACTAACTACCACCAACTACCACTAACTACCACTAACTACCACCAACTACCACTAACTACCACTAACTACCACTAACTACCACTAACCACCACTAACTACCACCAACTACCACTAACTACCACCAACTACCACTAACTACCACTAACTACCACCAACTACCACTAACTACCACTAACTACCACCAACTACCACTAACTACCACCAACTACCACTAACTACCACTAACTACCACCAACTACCACTAACTACCACCAACTACCACTAACCACCACTAACTACCACCAACTACCACTAACTACCACCAACTACCACTAACTACCACTAACTACCACCAACTACCACTAACCACCACTAACTACCACCAACTACCACTAACTACCACCAACTACCACTAACTACCACTAACTACCACCAACTACCACTAACCACCACTAACTACCACTAACTACCACTAACTACCACCAACCACCACCAACTACTACTAACTACCACTAACTACAACTAACTACCACTAACTACCACCAACTACCACCAACCACCAGTAACTACCACCAACTACCACTAACTACCACCAACCACCACTAACCACCACTAACTACCACCAACTACCATTAACTACCACTAACTACCACCAACTACCACTAACTCCCACTAACTACCACCAACTACCACTAACTACCACTAACTACCACCAACTACCACTAACTACCACCAACTACCACCAACTACCACTAACCACCACTAACTACCACTAACTACCACCAACTACCACTAACCACCACTAACTACCACCAACTACCACTAACTACCACCAACTACCACTAACTACCACCAACCACCACTAACCACCACTAACTACCACCAACTACCATTAACTACCACTAACTACCACCAACTACCACTAACCACCACTAACTACCACCAACTACCACTAACTACCACCAACTACCACTAACTACCACTAACTACCACCAACTACCACTAACCACCACTAACTACCACCAACTACCACTAACTACCACCAACTACCACTAACTACCACTAACTACCACCAACTACCACTAACCACCACTAACTACCACTAACTACCACTAACTACCACTAACTACCACCAACCACCACCAACTACTACTAACTACCACTAACTACAACTAACTACCACTAACTACCACCAACTACCACCAACCACCACTAACTACCACCAACTACCACTAACTACCACCAACCACCACTAACCACCACTAACTACCACCAACTACCATTAACTACCACTAACTACCACCAACTACCACTAACTCCCACTAACTACCACCAACTACCACTAACTACCACTAACTACCACCAACTACCACTAACTACCACCAACTACCACCAACTACCACTAACCACCACTAACTACCACTAACTACCACCAACTACCACTAACCACCACTAACTACCACCAACTACCACTAACTACCACCAACTACCACTAACTACCACCAACCACCACTAACCACCACTAACTACCACCAACTACCATTAACTACCACTAACTACCACCAACTACCACTAACTCCCACTAACTACCACCAACTACCACTAACTACCACTAACTACCACCAACCACAACTAACTACCACCAACTACCACTAACTACCACCAACTACCACTAACTACCACTAACTACCACCAACTACCACTAACCACCACTAACTACCACCAACTACCACTAACTACCACCAACTACCACTAACTACCACCAACTACCACCAACTACCACTAACCACCACTAACTACCACTAACTACCACTAACTACCACTAACTACCACCAACTACCACTAACCACCACTAACTACCACCAACTACCACTAACTACCACCAACTACCACTAACTACCACTAACTACCACCAACTACCACTAACTACCACTAACTACCACCAACTACCACTAACTACCACCAACTACCACTAACCACCACTAACTACCACTAACTACCACTAACTACCACCAACTACCACCAACTACCACTAACTACCACCAACTACCACTAACTACCACTAACTACCACCACTAACTACCACCAACTACCACTAACTACCACCAACTACCACTACCTACCACTAACTACCACCAACTACCACTAACTACCACTAACTACCACCAACCACCACTAACTACCACCAACTACCACTAACTACCACCAACAACCACTAACTACCACTAACTACCACCAACTACCACTAACCACCACTAACTACCACCAACTACCACTAACTACCACCAACTACCTCTAACTACCACCAACTACCACCAACTACCACTAACCACCACTAACTACCACTAACTACCACTAACTACCACTAACTACCACCAACTACCACTAGACACCACTAACTACCACCAACTACCACTAACTACCACCAACTACCACTAACTACCACTAACTACCACCAACTACCACTAACTACCACTAACTACCACTAACTACCACTAACCACCACTAACAACCACCCACTACCACTAAATACCACCAACTACCACTAACTACCACTAACTACCACCAACTACCACTAACCACCACTAACTACCACCAACTACCACTAACTACCACCAACTACCTTTAACTACCACTAACTACCACCAACTACCACTAACCACCACTAACTACCAATAACTACCACAAACTACCACTAACTACCACCAACCACCACCAACTACTACTAACTACCACTAACTACAACTAACTACCACTAACTACCACCAACTACCACTTACTACCACCAACTACCTTTAACTACCACTAACTACCACCAACTACCACTAACCACCACTAACTACCACTAACTACCAATAACTACCACCAACCACCACCAACTACTACTAACTACCACTAACTACAACTAACTACCACTAACTACCACCAACTACCACCAACCACCACTAACTACCACTAACTACCACTAACTACCACCAACAACCGCTAACCACCACTAACTACCACCAACTACCACTAACTACCACCAACTACCACCAACTACCACTAACTACCACTAACTACCACCAACTACCACTAACTACCACTAACTACCACCAACTACCACTAACTACCACCAACTACCACCAACTACCACTAACTACCACTACCACCAACTACCACCAACTACCACTAACTACCACCAACTACCACTAACTACCACTAACTACCACTAACTACCACCAACTACCACTAACTACCACCAACTACCACCAACTACCAATAACTACCACTAACACCAACTACCACTAACTACCACCAACTACCACCAACTACCACTAACTACCACTAACTACCACTAACTACCACCAACTACCACTAACCACCACTAACTACCACTAACTACCACTAACTACCACCAACTACCACTAACCACCACTAACTACCACTAACTACCACTAACTACCACTAACTACCACCAACCACCACCAACTACTACTAACTACCACTAACTACAACTAACTACCACTAACTACCACCAACTACCACCAACCACCACTAACTACCACCAACTACCACTAACTACCACCAACCACCACTAACCACCACTAACTACCACCAACTACCACTAACTACCACTAACTACCACCAACTACCACTAACTACCACTAACTACCACTAACTACCACCAACTACCACTAACTACCACTAACTACCACCAACTACCACTAACTACCACTAACTACCACCAACTACCAC